ACACTTTAAAAATGGTAAAATGGTAGCGGTAATAATACTAGTTAAAAATAAAAATGTAGTAGCTGAAAGGGCAAAATCGGGTGATGGAGAAAAAAGAAAAATGAAAAAAAAAATGTTTTCTTAGTTAAAAGGAGAAAAAGTAATTTAAAAAAATAAAAATAAAAATGTGCAGTAATGCAGGTGCTTCAGATCTTCTACTCTTCTTATTGGCACGCCGGGAACTCAGGAGAATGTTGACTTTCCCTCTGATACACTGTTCCTCCTTGTTGTAAGCCACAGTCCTTATTGCCTTATCTGTATTTACAGAGGAGTCAGTTCGTGGCTCTGCCTCTGGGTGGCAGTGTGTCTGGGTTGACCTCCGAGGCTATAAGTTCTCTCCGACCAGGAGCTGCCTATTGTACCTGAACCAGCTCCGCCCAGAGGTGGTTCCCCCAGCGCCACTCCCAGTTCTGTTTCCCAGGCTCCCCAAAAACAATCTTCCCCTACAAGCTCTGCTAGTGACCCCAACTGGGCACTCACATGCACTGGGCTCAACAATCCAACCCACAGAAGTAAGAGGAAGTGTGCGAACAAGAGCCTGGGAAGCTGCTGGAACTCGCAGGGTTCCACCCTCCAGAACCGCGCGGAGTGTCTGCGCGCGCCCAAGCCCCCGGCAAGAGGCACGGATTTTGGAGAGCGCGGATTTTGGCGGACGCAGATTTTCCCCTGCGCCCGCGCGTGCGTTCCTCGCTCCAACCTGAACTGCAAACCGTACCTTCGAGGCAAGTCCAACCTTTCCGTGGAGGGGTGCAGGTCTCCCCTTGGCTCTTGCAGTCGCGCTGTTTGCGAATCGCTGCCTCCGGGTCAGTAGCCGCCGGGCTAGTAGCCGATCTCTGGATGCCGGTGAACGCTGCCTGAGATGGCGCGGTCCGCCGCTGCGCTGGCGCCCAGAGGGAGGTTTCAGCCTCAATCTCCAACCATCCGCATTTTTTAGGAGTTTTCTGTCTTTCCTGGCTGCAGACTGTCTCTCAGCTGAACCTCCCCAGCTTGATCGGGCTGATTGTTACCCGTTTCAGCTGCTCGCCCCCATCTGGTCCGGGACAAAGCACCAACACGTCCGTCTAAGCCTCCGCCATTTTCAATCTCTCTAGAAATATTTTTATCTTCCATCAAAGTGGTTGCTTCGCTTACCCATCCCCTTGCCTCCCATCTTTTATAAATCATCATGGGCACTGAGAGGAAACCAATAAAGCCACAGTGTTGGGGGAGCATGAAAGACCTTCACTGGGGTATTCAGAAAACTAGGTACCATCTTGACCCAAATTCACATAAATCTATACCCCAAACCAATAAGTACTCAAACAACAATTTACATCACATCACCTCCTCTGCTCTCCCCATAACTGGCCCATATGTCCCCTAACTTCTGCTGTCTCTAGTTTCCTGCCCATGATTCCCGCAGAGACCAGCACAATCTTGTACACAGAATAAGCCTTCAGTTAAATGAGTGAGCTAAGATGCTCTCTGCAGCAGGAAACCTTAACCCAAAATGTTTCATCTACATTACAACTCTACTGAATCTCTGAATAGGTTAACATATAGATAGAACTCCATGAATTATTCCATTCTTGTTTTGATCAAAAATTTTCGATAATGTTAATTGGTAAAACGTTAATATTGGGGGAAATTAGGTTAAACATATATGGAAATTCTTTGTACTACTCTTGCAAATTTTCTGTAAGTCTGAAATAAAACAAAAGCTTACAAATAAATGTTTGCTGGAGAAAAAAGAATTTTCGATACTGCAATAATTTTACTGTTTTTCATAGAGCTATTCATTACACAAAATACACCCATATTTATTTAAATTTTTCCATTTGCATATACCCTAACCAGTGGTCGGCAAACTCATTAGTCAACAGAGTCAAATATCAACAGTACAATGACTGAAATTTCTTTTGAGAGCCAAATTTTTTAAACTTAAACTATATAGGTAGGTACATTGTTATTAACTTAATTAGGGTACTCCTAAGGCTTAGGAAGAGCCACACTCAAGGTGCCAAAGAGCTGCATATGGCTCACGGGCCGCAGTTTGCCGACCATGGCCCTAAACTATGGAAATCAGCCTATGTCTGAGAACCACATTAATATCTGAATTTATTTCTAAAGAATGGTAATGTACTAACTCTGTAACTCCCTGCATTTTGGGGTAGTTTTCTGTCCTAAACTTATAGGCTAGAAAAACTGGCCATATGTAATTGGTTCTGATCTAATTCATAAATTCACATGTGCCATAAAAGGGAGTTTAAGCACTTTAGCAAGTATATGGTAAAGCAGAAAGAACATTAGAATGAGCTGGGAAACTGAGTTCTCATCCAGGTTAACCACTCACTACTGATATGACCAAGTAAACCTTAATCTCTAGGATCCGATGCTCTCATTCATAAAATGAGGCAATTGGATAGGACAGCCTATGATGTTTCTTCCCTTATTAAAAGTCTACAATTCCATAAAGCATTGGCTTTCTATTTATTCATCATGTTGTAATTGACAAACCAAATGAGGCATCTTCCAGTTAAACTGACCCTGCTGAAAAGTCCTTGGATGCCGGCCATCCACAGTGTCCTTCCAAAGAGTCCTTCATACAGAAATCTTCATACTAAGTGCAGTGGCCACCCTGGCTACAGCTGGTTGAACCAGGAATGGCCACCATAAATGGCCCAGTATCCTATGAAGGGTCCTAGCATAAGAGCTTCCCAATAGCTAGATTCTTTACAAAATGGGGACTTACCTAACTGATCTCATGTCTTTTTGGGGATTCTGAACACAGAACTTCCAGAGAAGAGAGAACTGTAAGATACTTTCCCTTAATAACAGTTATTTTAAAGGAAATTTAGTCAGTCATTTGATTGACGTCCCAATTGACCATAAGACCCCATAAAGTCAAAGACCATTGCCCATTGCTGTATCCTCTTGTACCTCACATGAGAGGCACTCAATTAGTAAGGCTTTTATGAGCCACCTAAAACAAAACAGAAACAAACTCACAGATACAGAGAACAAACTGATGGTTGCCAAATGGAAGAGGTGTTAGGAAGATGATAGAAAAAGGTGAAAAGGACTAAGAAGTACAAATTGCCAGTTATGAAAATAATCATGGGGATGTAAAGTACAAAATAGAGAGTATAGTCCATGATCATGTAATAACTATGTATGGTGCCAGATGGATACCAGATTCATTGGGGGGATCACTTCATACGGTATATAAATGTCTCATCACTATGCTGTACACCTGAAACTAATATAATATTGTACATCAACTATAATTGAAAAATAAATTTTTTAAAATTTAAAAATAGAAAAAGAAGTTGCTTCATGATGAGAATGAATAAAGCCTCTTAGTTATTTCAAAAAAAAAAGAGCAGAAAGAAGGAAAGAAAAAAAGGAGGAAGGAAGGAAGGAAGGAAGGAAGGAAGGAAGGAAGGAAGGAAGGAAGGAAGGAAGAAAGAAAGAAAGAAAGAAAGAAAGAAGGAAGGAAGGAAGGAAGGAAGGAAGGAAGGAAGGAAGGAAGGAAGGAAGGAAAGAAAGAAAGAAAGAAAGAAAGAAAGAAAGAAAGAAAGAAAGAAAGAAAGAAAGAAAGAAAGAAAGAAAGAAAGAGGAAAAGGAAGAAAGGAAGGGAAAGGAAGGAAGAAAGGGAGAGAAGGAAGGAAGGAAGGAAGATCTGGACTACAAGATCAAAATGCTATGACAGAGCAGAAATAGTTATGAAAACAAAGAATCACAGTTTTTCTAGTCCAATAATCATGGATTAGCAACCATCAGTACTTCTACTTTATAGTTTTACTTCGATTATTATTCATTTCAATGGAGGAATTACCATTTTCTGATTAGCATAGGTTCTGCTCTGACCTATGACAAAAATGCCACTGAGAATCAAAGGAAAACTCAGCCTTTGAAAAGATTTCTCCCTGCTGCCAATGTATAGGTAAACTGACTCAGGATAAACAAAAACAAACAATGAAACACATTAGAAGGTGCTTATGAGTCATTTCGTCTTTGAAAATTTGGCTTTTATGAGTTAGAAAGATTTCACAAAACCATCTGACTTTGGGGGATGGTTTGTTTACCCTGATTTCCTGAAAATACTGGGAACAATTAAAGGTTTGAGATACCGTGAATTTTTCTTTCCGTTTGTTGGGGGCCTAATGGCCCATCTGCAGATCTGGACTCCTGTGTGCACATCTGGTCCATAATTTATAAAATGTGCTTATTTATATCTTTTCATTCTTACTTTCCAATGTTTTGAAATGTGCCCTTCGTATATCTTTCTTTAACATATAGACACACCTTAGCTATAGGGCTGACACAATAGAGAGCTCTTAGGCATAAAACCATTAGGACTGATACCTGCCTGTTTACAAACAATATGAAGGGAAGAATTTGTGGAACTATTATTGGAGGACATTGTGATGTGCCAGGCACTTCTACTTTGTGGATTAATACTCACCTGAAATAGTTGGGGGCACACCTTCCTTCACCTGGACAATCACTTGGACTTGACCTTCACCTGAAACTGAACACAAAAAGCCACAACTTGGATGTGATCCAAAGAGTGTCTTAATACGAAGGATATTCATATGTGAGAAAGGAGGCTTTGTGCTATATTCTCCCCAACATAACTAAATTTTCAAAATAAAAAATAAAATCCTTATTAGTTAGTCTAACAATTGATTTCCAACATTTGATTTTCACTGCTTTTATTTCATTAAACTTAACTGCAGTGAGGTCTCCTAGAGATTTGGCACATAAATAGGCTATAAAAACCTTTAGCCATATGTCCTTTGGAAGCCAATGTTGGGCAGCAGGGCACACCTCATACCCTATTTCCTCTCTGTCATTTTGTAGAGTTCCTCTCTGTCAGCTTGTAGTTTCCTCTCTGTCAGCTTGAAGAGTTCATGATTTTTAGCAATAGAGTTCAGATCACCCATGAAATGTACTTGCTTTACCTTTATCCAAACAAATTGTCCTTTTAATGAAGGCTTTTCTCCACCCCACCCCCCTTTTCCCTCCCATCTTCCAAACCAACTGAGTACATTTAAAAGGCCTGAGGTTCATTAATTTTAAGTGTTCAATAAATTAGTGGAAATAATCAAAAGGCCTGATTCTTTCTGATAATGACAATTTGATGTCAGTATAAACCAGTAGATTAAGCTGGGAACATATGCTCCTTTGCCAAGAGAGGCTGCTATAATTAAATAGTGAATGCATCTACAAGGTGCTCTCACGCCTGATTAATTAGTAATCAGGTGCCCGAACTCCACTTTTCAGTAACACCTTGTCTCTTATTGGTTAATTACCTTTCTGCCTTATCAGATGTCATGGGAGCCAGCACCTCCCCACCACTGAAGGGCCCGGTGCTGCTAAAGGCTGCAGCCTTGAGACATTGGCTAAACCCACGCTCTCCGTTGGCCATTCCCGGGAACCTTGAGCCCTTCCTCCACCACAGAATGAAATAGAACAAGGATCATTCTTCCTAATTATAAAGCATAGGATTTGAATATTACAAAGAAAATCACCCCCAAAGGAATCTATGATGAGACCTCTCCTATTCTTCTATTCAGATTTTGATAATTGTTCTCATTTTAATTTCTTCCCATTATAAAATGCATGAGTTTGTCAGGTACAATGGCCAGCATGTTCTTTTCCACGTTCTATTTCATCGCTACTTCTAAGACCTCACTTATATTGTTTCTCTGTCCTACTGCATAGTTCACCCACTTTTCTGCCTTTAGTAATAATAACAATAAAGCCACTAGCCTAGCATCTTATCTCTTTTTTTATTCTAGAATGTTTAACTTATCCACTTCTGCTCACACTGATCTATGCATTTCCTAAAGTTAAAAAGTGCTTTAAAATAATACTGTGATATTTATCCTAAGCTAGCTCTCAATGTAGCAAATATTTATCCAGCACCAACTGTGGTTAATTTAGGATAACAATTGCATCCATTGTTAGTTTGCTTTGTCTTTAAATCTTACAGGAAGAGATTTTTCTCATGTACTTTAGGACATTAAACATTGCTGGATACTTAATTTTCATGGAACAATCTAGAAATCCTAAGTTTATAGTGCTCCGCCCTGGATACCCAGGACTTAACTGACAATTTCAACAAGTTAAACAAATAAAGGTAGGAAAGAATCCTCTTAAGGAACCAAAAAACAAAATACTACAAAAGTTAAGTTCAAATGGAAAGAGAAGCAAAAGAGAATATGAACAAGATGATATCTAAAATCAAGCAAAGGCGGTAATAATAGAATACCCTTCTGCAAAAGGAATTGAAATATTATAACAGAATCAAACTCTAAGAAAGGAAAATGAGAATAAATTCCGGGAATCATTTGGAAAGGGAAGTCAGTTCACTTAGAGATATTATAAAAGTCATCCTTGTTAACAGTTTCCAGGAGGTTGTAGATTTCAGGGCATCCCTGCCCTCTCCCTAAGACCCAGACACTGAGGTAAAGAAAGAAAAGAAGTAAAGTTTCCTATAAATGTGTTTTTCAAGCCACTCTAGTCATTTTATAGATTTATTTAATTTATAAGAGGAATGGGTGGAGGAAGGGTAGAATAGAAACAATTTTCCCCACTAGGTAGGTGATGAAATCTGAAGTAGAGGGAACATAATCAATATATCCAAAGTCCCCTAGGTGAAAAAGATACTGTACTTACAGCACATTATAGTTATCATCATGATGAGTAACCTTAAAACTGAAAAGGCTAACCCTCAACATATCTAACTCCCAACACAGGCTGTTCCATATGTCCTTTCATTCACTAAGTCACTTGCCCAGGTCCTGTTCTTGGTCAACCAAGTCTTCCTGGCTCAGGGAGCTCTCACGTCTGTAGCTCTGCACCAGCGGCTTCTGAACTGAGTGGCCATTGACCTTGTTCAGCTGCTACACACGCAGCTGAACAAAAGGTTCCCACCTCCTCTAAATCTTCTGCCCCTAAACAGACACTGAAAGGGTACATTGAAAAGCTATTGCTCACTTCATTCAAGCAAGTGTGTGACTATCATTCAATCTCAGAAAAGTAGTTTCTGTGCCAGTGGAAATGGAGGAAAGTTATCAAAAGTAGAAAAGATTAGAAAAGTCTGGTTTTCTATCCCACCACTACCTATACATGCCCTTCTGCGGACTGGGTCAGAGCACGTGAGCATGGCTTGGAGGGCTAATTCTTTCCAAACACCATTGCTGCGTCATGAGAGTGGTGCCATAGAGAGTGGTGGGGAAGAATGTGGATACTGGAGTCCAAGAGCCTAAATTTGAATTCTGGGTCTTTCAGTTCCTAGATGTGGGCACCTGACAAGTTACTCACCATCTGAACCTCAGTCACTTTCTCTAAAAAATGGGAATAATCCTACTATCTACCTCAAAAGGTTACTGGGAAGAAAAGATGAAGCAATGTAATATACTTAGTGCAGTGCCTGGCACATAATGGAAAATAAAGTCAGCTATTATCACCACTGTTCTTATGACATGCTTATGATTCTAAGAGCCAGATAACAAAACCCAAGAAATACGCTTTTTATTCTTTTTACAGCTGCGCCTAATCACGATGAGCCATGGTATAGAGCTGTAAGCAATGTAACCAGCTCTGCTAAAATCTGTTAAGTGCTTTGACTCTAAAAAGACAGGGTAAATGTTAAGTGTCATTTCCAATTTGGATAAATACGAAAATCATTTGAGAATAAAGGTATTGTCTCGGGAAGAGTTTAAAAGCATTATACAAGCTGTGATATTGTACATATGTTTTCTCAGTGCTTGATTTCTGATTCTGTGTTTGTAATATGAGAATGGTTAATCTGCTCTGTTTATAAATGGAGACTTACTGCAGTTGATCCTTCCCAGATTGTAAGAATATCTGGTTGGTCCTCAAAAAGAAAAGAAGTATATGGGTCAATTATTGCCAAATTATGCTGACAAGTGTTATATGATCTGAGCTAGCAAGCTCAGATAGGAGGAAGAGAGAAAAGTGCTAAGAAAATAGCTCCCGGTAAGAGGAAAGAGAGCTGCTCAGCTAGAAATGATACCAGTGCCCACCAGAGCTATGTGCTGTGCCTGGCGAACTGTGTCCTCACTGGGGCACTAAGAAAGAGAAAAATGAATAATTCTCTCTTAGAATTTAGAGCGATAAATAGGTACCTACATGGAAAGAAACACATGGCATCTTAGCAGGTTATAGATTCCTTTCCTGTTTTATTCTTTATTTATATTCCCATTCCCACTTTGCCCGTCAGGTTTAGGCACATATTAGGAGCTCTCGTTCAGCCCACATGCATATAGGTGAGTCAGCCATTGACTACACATGGAGAGAACACAAAACAGCCACTGTGATCTGTGTCTGCAGATTTGGTCCATTCTCGCCCTGGCCCATGCCTTCGCCTTCTCTAGCTGTTGTCGGATTTGGTCCTCTCTCTGAATTTTCAGCTTAGCTTGCCCTGTCCTCTACCACCACCTCTTTTCCCCAGATCTGCCTCACACACCTGCTGTTTCTACCTACCTGTTCAATGAACTGGACCTGGCTCCCCAGACATTAGCCTCCGTTCCTTAAACACAGAGAAGGCTGGCTTGTCAGTTGGTCCCTGGGCGGGTAAAGTTTGGTTCACAAGACCACACTGCTGTCTGATTCCAGCTTTAGAGACAGTCACAGAGTTACCTTGGCCCTTATAACACAGAATCTTTTAAAAACCTTCACAGAAACATTTTATGAAAATTCTGTGATCCCCTTTGATTCCTCTATTATCACCAGGGACATGCATCCTTGAAAGAGTGATTTTTTTTTCAAGTGTAAGAGTAAAAAAACTTGACCGAGACACCAACAGATAGATAGATCTGCATTAACCACAGTCCTGAGAGTTAGCTCAATTAAATCTTCTTAATTAACTTAGCACACAATAACAATTGTTATTCTGATGCAGATAAATGTTTGCCACCCATGGGGCATCTGTGATTTCCTGGGCCCTGTGCAGACCTACAGAACCAGAACTTAGAGGGATGGGCCTGGTACCATGCATTCCAGCTGTCTGCCCATGAGGCACACTTAGAAGGCACCAAATTGAGGAATTTTACAACTTCTCTCATCCATACTCTAAAAATGTGGTTTGTTCTCAGAAGCAGGTGTTCTTAACAAGTGAGGAGACCCAAATAAAAAAAGAGATCCTTATGTTCACACTTCTTACTTTTAATCAATTGTACCAAAAGCTTGCAAACCACATTATATTCCCAAAATATAAGATGTGAGGTGATCATTTTAATGGCCACCTGTGCCCGGCTCTTTGTGAACGAAGGGTAGCTGCCAGTGTCACTAAGCATTAGTTCCTTAACCAGGGATCCCTAGAAAAGTATTTGATTCTGACTTCTTAGTTTTCCTTCCTTCCTTATTTCTTTCCATTCCTCCCTTTCTTCCTTCCTTTTCCTTTTGAAGAAGTTGCTTGTCATCAAGAGGCAAAATCCCTTCTCACCTTTCCAGCTCCTGTTCCATTCTCTGCATTTTTGCCATGAAGTTTACGGCATT